GCCGGGAGTCCAAGCCAGGAGCCGGTACCTCCGCCCCGCGGCCCACTCGCCGCCGCGCGTAACCCGACGTCTGAGACCGCAGCGCCTGATTGGCTTGGCCGGGCGTGGGGGCGGGCCTCGGCCCCTCCAGCTCTTCCCACCCCCCCATGGGCGGGACTCCGGCCGGGCGTGGGGGCGGGGTCGGGCGTCCAGGCCACAGGTAGAGCGGAACAGGTGAGCGCGGCTGTACGGGTGGGAGTGAGCCCAAGGACCCCGGGCTCCAGGTCGGGAAGGCAGGAGCCGGGACCATCTGCGACTAAATTTTCTTCCTTTCCAAGATGAAGCGCTCATACCCTGCAGAATTTATTAAAAATACTCCTGGATTCCACCCTCAGGTTTTGATTCAGTAGTTCCGAGACAGGGCGGAATAGTGTGCATTTCCAGCTAGCAGCCTAGATTATTCCGAAGGAGGCCGTGAGGAAAACAATCCAAGACTCTGCACACCGGCATATTCCTTCCAATCCAGACGTTTGGCGTCCTTCTGCTTTCCTTGTTAGTACGAATATTGTGACCAAAAGCTTATCCTCGATTCGTCAATCAGGCCCGAGTCGACCTTTTTTCTTCCCTAAACATTATGTAAATGGTCATTTTAATCCAATCGCTGTCCTTTAGAAATATACGAGGTTTATACCGAAAACATGGGAACATGTCCCCATCTTGTTCGTCTTGAACATGCTTCATAAAGCCAAATTGTTGGTAACTGCCAGAATCTCTAAGGTCCCCCTCCACACATGCATGTTTACTCCCACCTTAATCCTCTGACTCCTTGGAACCAGCTCCCTACCTCTACCAGGGCCTCTAGTCCCTGTTTTCCCATCTACCTTCCCAGCCCCGCTCTGGCTTTTCTCCAGACACTTCTTGTTGGTGCTCTCCAGTCCCTAGCCTTCTTGCTGCATCCACTTAATGACCATGTACACATGGTATTACTCCAGTAGACACTGGGCTACATTTGTGGAACAAGAAAAACTGTATTAGGGAAATTTTCCCTAAAAGATAGCCACCTTGGTGCTCGCTTCGGCAGCACATATACTAAAAGATAGCCACCTCAGAATTCCAATGGGCTAAATGCTTACAAAAGCTTTCTTGGTTGACAGGAATATTAACCTGATTATGCAGAGAACAAAAATGCTATTGGCTCCTTAGAGCCTTCTCTTACAATGCACTTCACACCTCCTGTGTCTTAAATGGCATTCTAGCTGCATGTACCACTGTTCCCTTTTCCCTGCTGAATGGTAACTATTCGTGCTTGAGGCCCGCCTGACCTCCCTCTCCCCAGCCGGCTTCCACATGACCTTGTGTATACTGCTCCACTAGAACTTTTCTGACTGCTCCGTTAGGTGGCTGTACACGTCTCTCTCTTCACAGCTGAGTGTGAGCCTTCTCAGGGTGGGAACTGGCTTTTATTCATCCTTGAATCCAACATAGTGCCTGGCACAGAGAACATGGCAACACTTTTTTAAATTAAACTGAATTTTAATTTATAAAATTTAAAACTCTCCACAAGTATTAACCATGGGAAAATACAGAAAATCAGGTTAAGAAAATAAATAGGTCAGGGAAAATTGTGTTACTGTCTTTAAATCTAAGAAGGTCTCTTATGGGGATGCTCAACAGTTATAGTCCGTGTTCGGAGGGAAACAAATGAGAGGATGTGTACTTAAAGCAGAAGAGATTGTGGGCTGGGCATAAGGAGACTGTTAATTGCTTGAAGATATAGGCAGCTTAAGGAAAGTTGCACATAGAGCTGAAGAATGAAGTTTTTGACAAAGCACTGCTCTGCACATCCAGATGTGGAGGGATCCTTAAGGCCCGTTGCTGCTGTACCAAAGCAAATGTAGACAAATGAGAAGCATTCTTCTGAGATCATGGGCAGATTCCCCAATGCCAGGAGCAAGGTCCCTGTGGGGAAATTCTGCTCTTCCTACCTTTCCTGAACTGCAATTTTAAAGTACCCAAATCCAGAGGGTAAAGATCGGACGACAGGAGAAGGGGGGAGAATTCTGGAAAGGTACATTTTATTGAAGTAGGAAGGAACTTTCTCCTCCTTTCAGAGATGATTCTGAGGCCCCACTGGAAAGAGTTTTGAAGGATTTACTCAGGCCAAGATGTCTTCTTTGCTGTCAAATGAAGTTAAACATAGCTTAAGACCTGTTTTAATTCTCTTACAACCACTTAAAACTGTCATAATATACCACAAGTTCTTATACACTCTTATTTACAAAAAAACCCCACGCAAAATATTCATCCAAAATAGTTATTTTTTAATCCCTTGAAGTTATACCCATCAAACTTGATGGTAGTTATTTTAATAGGTATTCTTGTGCATATTTCTCCTTAATTATACTTTATCCTCAACGCATAACTTTTAAAATTGAGAAAAACAGCAAGCAGGAAGGATACAATGCAATATGCATTTCATTTTGTTCCAAACAAGCAGCTTAAAAAAAAAAAAAAAAAAGGATAGCATAAACAAAGTGCATCGGTTCCAACAATTCAGTATCAGAAAGAGGCCCAAGGACAGTGCTGGAACCAGCCAGAAGTCCCACCCTAGCAGGCCTCTGATTGTCTTTAGAGAATATTCAACCAAAAAAAGGATGAAAGGAAGAGGAAAAGAAATGAGCACTTTAAAATCTCAAAAGAAGCATTCCAACTACACTTCCCTAGAGCCTTCTTGCAAAAGGATATAAGGAACTGTCAGTTTTAACTTTGTCTAACCTTTGTACGGGCCCTTCAGGCATCTGCTTTGTGACTTGATTTACCCCCAAAGCCTACCCTCATCCTTCCAGCACTATTTGCCCACCTCCATTCTGCCAAGTCAGGCATGCAGTTAGGTTAACTAAACCGCGTAGAAACCCCTCAGGACTGAGTTTCCACACATCCTGAGTACAGGCACCCCCATTAGCAATGGTGGCATCATCTCACTAGGCAGTATCATCCTTTGTCCCCAAAAATAGATCAGGGTCCACACTTGACTGCTGGTGTTGAGGACTTGTCCACCAAGGCTGTAGGTTGTTTCTCTTTTAAAACAGTCCTTTGTGATAGGCCATAGCACCAGGACAAACCCAAATGGTGTGGTAAGTCAGAAAAGACATAAGGGGAGGGAGTTTTAGGCCTGTTTCTCCATTCCCCCTCTCCTGGTTTTGCTGGTTCTTGTGAAAAATCTAAGAGTTCTGAAACACCAGAAGCAAGAAAACCTCCAATGCATTTACTGCCCACCACCTTCTTTACCTTCACCCTGGCAGGCTGCCCTCAGAAACAAGGCTACCCTGTGGTCTGGGGCAAGTATGAGGAAACCCCAAGTGAGAAGGTTTAGAACCAGAACCATGGATTGGGCTCTGAGTTTAGAACTCTTCTGCAAAAACTCCAAGTCCATAGGTGGCTTGCTTGGACAGATTCAAATTTCCAAAGTATGTACATTCTCACACAAGGGGTGAGAATCATCAAAATTCACTAACAGAACATTGTAAAGTGAATCAAGTCATGGAAGAGTTACAACTGCATGAAAGGGACTGACTTCTTTTTGGCTTCACAGGGGACTTTGTTCTACAGAGTTTCTGAGATAGCATCATGACCGTGACACATGATTATTTTCAGTGGACCCAGGACCAAAGACATTCACATTTTAAAAGGGGGTCCCTCGTTCCCACCGAGATTTATACTTCACTTGTTAGTGATGTCTTCTCCTTCATCTTCCTAAGGCCAAATGATAACACAGAACACTTCTGAACTCTCACACACACATTCCATCCCTAGTATACAGGATCAGTGCCCAAACCCAGTACGTGTTTCCACTGTCGAGACTAAGCTCCTAACATCTCTCTCAGAGCTTCTGTGGGCATCAATCAAATCAGTGAACGGGGTCTTCAATATAAGTCTTTGGTGATAGGTGTCAAGTAAATATAAGTGTGTGTGAGTTTTCCCAAAGTTCCCATCTAGGTAATTCTTACCTACTGTTAACGATTTCCTAATGTTCTGTGTGTCCCCCAGAAATACTTTTTGGCTTGCCAGAGGGGAATGGTTCTGAGTCCTGCCACAGCTGAGGCCTCCTAAAGCTTTTAATCTGTATTCAGATACCACATTAGTGACGGAATTAATAAAAGAGAGTGAGTAAAATATATTCAAGTCCTCAGGAAGCTTTGGTCCAAGGCCTTCTCTCTCACAGAATAATTTTACTTCCAGGAGAAGAGGCATATAAAGGCCAAGCTCTGAGCTGGTTTTCCATGTCTGCCTCTATCATAATTCAAAAAATATTTACCAAGAAGCCCATCTCTTCCGGAGGTTGCTAAGTATCCTTCCCTGACCTCATGCATCTACAACATACATGCTGGGAGTCACCTACTTCGCCAAAGAAAGGCAGATATAGGTAAAGCCCCAGTAATGCATCCCCTGCGTTAGATACCTCAACTCTCCAACTGAGAAGGATGAGGGCAGTTTACAAACGAAAATAGCATAGTTTCCAGAAGCCCACAAAATACAGTCAAAATGTCACAGCAAATCTTCATGTACAATAAAAGGTTTCCCTAACATACTAACATAGGCTAAGAGTGGTCGGTCAACTTCAAGGTCCAGGAGGCTTATATAGTCCATTCACCTGTTTCCAAGTTTGTCAATTCAGGATCAAAAAATGGATCATGGAAAACTTCCTGACCTCAGGCAGCTGTGGGGCCAGCTGAAGGTGAAATTCAGACAAATGCAGCCCCTCACAATGTATCTCTCTTAAGAGGGTATCAACCTTTAAAAAACAAAGTTCATGTATCCATGTGTAATACATAAACATTTTACCCCAACATGGTGAGTTATTATCAGGTTTAAAATCTGTTTCAGAATCAGAGGAATTAGACTGTCACTGTTGTCCAGCCAAGCCCCAGCAGCTTTATGAGGGAAATAGAGCCTAAATTGTATACTTCAAAAAAAAAAAAAAAGCCCTATGCCAAATTCCCAAACAATTACCTTCTCTTATTTAATACCTGGGAGTGGGGGGTGGGGGTATATAATTATTTAATGCAGTTGCCTGAGAAACTGTATCTCACCATGAGAATGCAAGAACTATTAAGGGAAACCCAACTTAGAGTTGGCTTCTCTCTAAGAGAAAGCTGAGCTTGAATAATCACGGTACACAGAGGAGCCAGCTGAGCCCTGACTATATCCAGATCCAAGACTACTCAGGGCCGTGAGTTTCACCTTTCCAGGGGCTCTGCCCCCTTTACCTATGTATGGTTTTGGAGAAGGCGAAAGAGAGACAACTTAACGTATTCACTGTTGCACTTGGTCAATTCTCTTTCATAGGAAGTAAATCTCATTTCCCTAAATAAAACAAACATTGATCTTCTTCAAGGAACTCCCTTTGCCTCAGTGCCTTAACTGCTGAGGTCTCAGGAACTTTAATTGTGTAAGTTACGCACCCCCTGCCCCAAGACCATGTACTTAACACTAATTGTTCCCAAGCATCTTATATATGCTTCTCTTCCATAGGCATAGAATGACATTTTTAAAAACTGGATCTCTGAGTAAGTTGAAACATATTAACTTTTACTTAAATGAAGCTTCTTTCCAGGTCTATCTGGTGGTTACCTAAGCAAAGAATTGATGCTTTAATATATGGTTTGGTTGGAGGGCTTGAATTAAGGTGGTTCATAAATAATCCAGTGAAGAAAGGGTGCAGACTACAGAATGTCTGCCAAGGTCCATAAACTGTTGGGAGCAGGAGAGGGTTCTGAAGAAAAGGGAAAAATCAATAGTTTAAATTTGTAGTATTATATTTGTATAGATGTTTAGAATTCACCAAGTTTGTAGTTTTAAAACATTTTAAAATCTTGAAGATGAGTGATTAAGTTATAAATTTGGAGGTAACTAGGATAATTAAAAAAAAAAAAACCAACCCCAAAACACTCAGCAATGCAAACCATTTAAAGGAAGCAATCTATGTGTGCACCTTTCCTCATTCCTCCCGGCTGGAACAGCACAGCAAATGCTATTATTCTATAGTTGCTAGCAGTGCAATCCTAAATGAAAATTTCCCTGTAGTTTCATGTCAGCTTGAACTGGGCCAAAAGAAACACCTAAAAGAAAACCAAGTTGTTGAGCCGTTGAGTGGGAATTCTCAGCCTGTAGATTACATTCAATTTAAAGGTTTCACTAAGAGGACATGTAAATGTGACTTGGCAAAGAGGTTTCCAGAATCCTTAACCACCTCTCAATCTTTATGCGGCCACTGAGGACATGAGGACACACTGTTACAGAAACTCCATGCTCTGCATCACCCCCCAAAATGTTTTCTCTGTTGTGCTTCTACACTCTCTGCCTGGAGACACCGAGAAAGAAAGGGAAATGGGTTTTCCTGTGGGTCCAAGGAATACCTACTGATTTTCACCCAAAGTGAGGACTCTCGAAATGAAACAGACAGCTATAGAGGAAAGTAAACATAAAATAAGAGCCACTGAAGTCCCCCTGAGGACTGATGGGGAGAGAGCAACTCAACAGAAATACCCACAATCTTTGAGAGACCACCTAACAGGGAGCCCACACTGGGTCCAGGCAGGAAACCATGTAGCAGGGTTCTCAGATCAGGCCAGGAACTGGTATAAGTGCTCACATGGTATTTTTAAGAGAGCAAACAGTGTTTTGTTTTGTTTTTTCTCCAGCTTCTATCATAGTTTTAGTGTTCATGTAGCTTAAAAACGGCATCATACAAAAAAACCTTATACATGGCTGTAAGCTCAATCATCAACAGAGGTAGTAAACAAAGGAACTCCTAAGAATAGATTTTAAAATGGATCAAAGTGTGACTGTACATTCAAAACCCTAGAGCCACGTCATCATCCCCGAAATGAACTGTTTTAATTTAAAAAAGCTTAAAAACACAATGACAATGGAGCACTGATGTGCCTTAGGCACAGTCCCAAATCAGTGCTGACTTAAAGCTATGTCCTCTCTTTCCAAGAAAGAGAAAGCAGAGAACAGAGTTCAATCTACAATGGGAAGGAACAGAACCAAAAGAAAACAACCATAAGGGTGCTTTCCAGCAGCCTACATTATTCTTCGTTTTCAGGCCACACCACTGGAAATGCTGCTGCTTCTTACGTGAGTCTTTTCTTCACAACTCTTCTTTTTTTTTAAAACTGCAATCTGCTGACCAAGAGATGTCCACATTTCCACTGGCAGGAGAGCCACTTCTGTGCAGTTTTTGCTTCCTCAGTGTGGGTCCTCCTTCCCTGAAAGTGCAAAGAGAGCAAGCCGACCCCTGCAGGGCCCGGAGCCCCAGGGCTGACTCAGCTCCGCGCGTAGAGCAGTGAGAAGGATTTGCTGCATTTGTGCTTCGAAGACACAGCGCACTTCGGTTGTCCTTCTCAGTTGGCAAACTGCTCATAGAAAGCAAACTTGATCCTTTCTATGTGGTGGCAGAGTTTGATGGCAGGGCCCAATTTTAAGTCCATGCACTCCTGAACAGTGGGAAGGGTAAGGAGCAACAGGGCCTGCCCGTCAATTTCCTGTTAAAGCATAAAATACGCATTATCTCTGATGTGCACATGGACGGCAGCTCAATCAAGACAGCCCCCGTTCCCTTTGGCTGGGGTCAAAATCAGAGTCCCTGCACTTTCCTTTCCTTACTTTCCCCCTTAACATAAGCATCACACAGTTTCTTCCAAGTACCCCTGGCAGTCCTCCATGCTAATGAATCTTCAGAATTAAGGATAAACTCTTACCAAGGATAAGAATCCATTCTACAGTTTCTGCTCTGCAGAAATTCAATAAACAAACTAGCTTTGTAAGTGGCTACTAAATGTACCAAAGGAAACATCTTTTTAGAGGATGCTCTCTAAATCTGAAAGAAAATATTAACTATAAACTTCAACGTTTTCCTACTCTGTAACATTCATAAAAGCCTGATGAGCTCGTCAAAGATGTTCAGTTTAGAATCTCCCCAATTATCAAAAAAAAATTAGTTTATTTGTTTAAGGTCACAGACTATTTGTTTCAGAAAACTTGCCTTAAAACTGATCGCCACTTTAGAGCCTAACATATTATAGATGTTAATTATTCTTAAAAACAAGCAAATCATTACTTTGGAAAAGAAGAGCACAATTAAGAACTGCATGCTTGATTTTAAGCCATTTAAATATTTGAGGGATAGAAACAAAGTCTTGAGAAAAATGGCAACACAATGATCGTTCGCTTCAAATGTGGGGAAGTCGGAATCACGACCTCTTACAATCCTCTTTCTATGACTCCTAAAAGGGGAACTACATTTCTTTTCTTTTGGATAGATATAGTTTTCCTCAGACTTGTAAATAAATCGCTATTACACCCATAGTCCTTTGCTAAAGAGACAAATTACTAAAACTCACAGGTCTCTACAATTACCTGGTCTAGAAATATCCTCGCTAACGGAGCACAGTCGGTGGATCTGATGAACCGGACAACGTCCGCCACACTCCACTTGAGGGGGTTACTGTCCAGATGGAGCCTCTCAGCGACTTCAATCCTGATTTCCTTCATTGCCCGCAACAAAGCAAACCAAATAGTGTCAGAGCTATTTTATTCTAAAAAAGTCTCTCTATATAAATTCATAACCCTTTGAGGCAGGATTTAAAGGGGTTTTAGGGCATGATTTCTCCCAGCAAAGATGGCCAAGGTCCACATACACTAGGTACTCAGGAAATGGTTGTCTTTTATAATAAGAAATATCAATGGGGAAGAATTTATCTCAAAGTTCCAGCACAAATAATTTGGACAATTTAACAGAGAAAAATGGTTTTTAAAGTTTCCTATTTGTTCCCTGGTCTATTTCAACTTGCTGTCTGGTAGGGTATGCAGTGAATGGGATGCTACTTCGGAAGAAAAGAAGGCTTACCTAAATCATCAGAAGAAATCATTTACTGCTTCAGTTCAGGCGATATATTTAAAACACAACCCAGTTTTAAAACAGTGACTTAACTGCCACTCTTACAGTGTGTACGTTATGTAATACACATATATATGTATATATTAAATATACCAAACAAAATAGCTTCACCAGAATCAAAAGGATAACTTATTTCTACAGAACCATCTATCAAAAATATCAAAAAAGCAGTTTTCCCTAAACCGACAGGTTACAGCTAAAAAAAAAAAAAAGTTTTAAAAAATAAATAAAATAAATTAAAAAAAGTTTCATTTCTAGTTTAACTCAAAGTAAGCAGCTACTCAGAGAGACCTTCTTTCCGATAGGTAGTTGATCTCCAAATAATCCTTGCAATGCAAGTAAATCACTGAATTTGGAATTCTTTTAAGAGAGACCTGGGAAATTCAACTGAAGCCTGTACTGAAATAAATGGAATGCTCACATCACTAACAATCAGATTTTAGAGGGGCACCTGGGTGGCTCAGTCATTAAGCGTCTGCCTTTGGCTCAGGTCATGATCCCAGAGTCCTGGTACTGAGTCCCACATCGGGCTCCCTGCTCGGCGGGGAGCCTGCTTCTCCCTCTCCCACTCCCCCTGCTTGTGTTCCCTCTCTCGCTGTCTCTCTGTCAAATAAATAAAATCTTTAAAAAAAATCAGATTTTAGAGGGAAATTCTAGAGAGAGAAATAAAAGGCACTGTATTTTAAAAATGGGTACCTTTGGTGAAGGAGGTTTATTCTCATCATCAGAAAACGAAAAAGTGCGAAGCTCTCTTTTTCTCCGTTGTCTGTCTGGAGGCAGCGATGTAGAGATCTCACTTTGGGTGGGAGAGGAAGAGCACGACTTTTTCTCTGACATTTCTGACTCTTCCTGTAGCTCGTCCTGTTGCTCAGATGTACTGCCCTCACTCAGGGAATCGTCATCCCCTTCATCTGGGTCATCCTCATCTTCACCCCCACTTCCCTAGAGGAAACAGAGAGAAAAGTCTCATTGAAATTCACGACAAATCAGCTCCTGGGCCACAAACCACCTTCTGCTGGGCCGGGATCTGACTTAGAAAGGCCCGCAGGTCGCCCTTCTGTGTCTCTGCTGGACGGCAGGGATCTCCTGGCTTCCAGACAGGACAGGTACATCACAGACCTCGTACCTGGGGCGAGCCTGCTGGAGTGTTATCAACAGATGCCGAGGAGCGTTTCTTCTTATGGACAAAGACATTTTTCCGCCTCTTCCTCCTCTTACTGGCTTTTTTCAGGGCACATGCTAAGTTGCTATGCCCACCAGGTGGCCTCCCAATTCTTTTATTTTTCTTCTTTCCATAATAGTGTGCTAAATGTGAAGGACAAAGAAAAATGAAGTAGCTTCACGATTTTTGTACACCTCACACCACAAGAGATTCTACTATCACAGCAGAAAACAGGTACACTGTATTTGATTAACGTTTAAATTCTGTATCAGGGAATACTCTTAACTGTCCAGATCTTAAATGTACAGTATAATTAGTACTGACAAATGCATAAGCCTGAATAACCTTCCCTCTATCAAGATATAGAACATCTCCATCAACCTAGAAAGTTCCCAGGGTCCCTTCCCAGTCAGTCCCCCTCATCAGAAGCAACCATATTCCAACTTCCATCGGTACAGATTAGTTTTGCCTCATCTATGGAACAAGATGCTTCTTGGACAAGGTTTCTTTCACTCAGCATGTTTTTGAGTTTCACCTATGTTGCTGTGTGTATGAATACTTCATTCCCTTCTACTGATGAACAGCATTTCATTGTACAGAACATACTAGTTTAACTATTCTCCTGTTGACAGGCACCTGGGCTGTTCCCAGGTTTTGGCTGTTACTATTTGGCAATGAACGTTCTTTTTTTTTTTTTTTCCATCCAACAAGAAGCCATAACTTTATTAATGATAGAAACAGTACAAATTTCAAACCAAGCTGCAGTTATTCTTTTGAAACACCAAAAAAAGTCCTCGTTTTCAGATGGTTACATTGTTAATTCCATAATAGCATTTACGGTATCATTACTGTTGTTCTTCAGGGCTCGGACTGCCTTTGCTCTTGACACATTAGCTTGTGACGTGACCGATTCTATGTCCTTAACCTCTACACCGGTTTCATCAACCTCTTCCTCTTCACTCTCCTCTTGTACAGTTGGAGTCTGTGTGTTTTCTTGAATGTTTGAGACAGCTTCACCTTGAACTCTGAATTTCTCAGCAGCTGCTAGTTGTGCCTGCTGAGCTAAATCCTCGATCTTGGCTTCCCCAAAAACTATGTAGGTATCTGAAGCTGGGCTCTCGTAGACATCTGGTTTTGTGATGACAAAGAGGATATTCTTAGACTTCCTGGTAGTGACTCTTATAACCCCTGTAGGCTTCCGTGCCTTCTTTTCACTCCGGCTGTTTTGCTTTACTGACTGGTTCTTCATCGATTCCAGCGGCTGCTGCCAGCTGGGACTGTTGTGTGGCTGCCTGTGTGGAATCCTGTTCCTCAAGCTCTGGTTCTGAGTCATCACTGTCAGATTCTGTTCCAGACCGTGTCCCAGCCTGGGGCTGTGGCAACTCCTGCTCTGGAGCAGGGACGGTTTCTGTGGCTTCACCAGGCCTTTTGTGAGGGGAACGCGGAACCAAGATGGCGGCAGAAAGAGAGCGAGCGAAAGCGTGACCCACGCCTGTTGCAGAAGGAAGCCTCGACAATGAACATTCTTGTCCAAGGCTTTTAGTGGGCATATTTTCATTTTCCTCGGGTAAATACCTAGGGATGGAAGTGCTGGATCATACGGTAGATGTAGATTAACTTTTAAAGAAACTGTCAAAGAATTTCCCTAAAGGGTTGCATAACTTGACACTCCAACCAGCAATGTGTAAGAGATCTAGTTGTCTACACCTTTGCCAACTTGTGGGACTGTCCATCTTTTTCATTTTAGCCAATTTAGTGGATATGTAGTAATTTCTCATTATAGTTTAGATTTGCATTTCCCTGATGACTAATGATATTGAGCACATTTTCATGTGCTTAATGGCCATGTATGTTATCTTTTTTGTGAAGTGCCTATTCAAGTCTTTTATTCATTTTTAAAATGGTTTTCTCTTTCTACGTCTTTTTTATTGAGATATAATTCACAATATAAAATCCATCATTTTAAATTGTACATATCCAGTGATTTTTAGTGTATTCAGTATGTTTGCAATTACCACTATCTAATTCCAGAACATTTTCTCTTTTTATTTTTAAATTTTTAAAAATTGAGGTAAAAGTCACATAACATACAATTAACCATTTTCAAATGTACAGTTCAGTGGTATTTAGCATATTCACAATGTCATACAACTATCAGCTTTCTCTAGCTTCCAAGTTTTTCTTATTATGGAGTTGTGGGAGTATTTACTACATCCTGGAGAGATTCTCTGAGCAGAAGTTTTTAATTTTGGTGATTTTTTTCCTTTATGTTAGTGCATTCTGTTTCCTAAGAAATCTTTGCTTATCCCTAGATCTTGATGATACCGTTCTTGTTTTCTTCTAGGAGTTTTACAGTTTTAGCTTTTACCTTAGGCCTATGATATACCTTGAATTAATTTTAATATATAGTGAGGTAGGAACCAAGGAGTTTTGCTTTTGTTTTTTTTTTAATTTGGAAAACGAATTGTACCAGTGCCATTTGTTGAAAGAACTTCCTTTCCCTGTTAAGTTTTTCATCTTTGCTGAAAATCATTTAATCACATCAATTTGGGTCTATTTCTGGCCCCTCTGTTCTGTCCCATCACTCTGTGTGACTATTTAATCCACCCCACTACTAATTACTCTACCTTTATGGTAAAACTCAAAGGCAGACACAGTAAGTTCTCCAACTTTATTCTTTTTCAGGATTCTTTTGGCTATTCTAGATCCTGTACATTTTCATATAAATTTTAGAATACAAAGACAATTCTAAAAATGAACCATATATATTCTAGCTCTAAATATATATCCTAGTTATATATTTACATAAAAACAAAATATAATGTAATTTTTTTGCAAAAAAAAAGGATTCTACAGGATATAAATCTATTTGGTAACACTCAAATTACTAACTGGGAAAAATCACAAACACTCTCTCCTAAAGTCTAGGCTTATATCATTTAGAAAAATAAATTTAGACAAAAAGCTAATAAAGTCTGCATATCCTCCATAGGCTCAAAGTGATATACATGTATGTAGAGTATATTTCACTTAGCTATTAATACTTGCAATTTGCTAAACTAAGTGCTGAATATGACCCTATAAGCTAACACCAATCCCTGCCTTTAAGGAGTTTACCATCCAACAAATATAAACAGAAACTACAAGGTTAGACTCTTCTATGATTTTGAGATTCAAACACTAATTAGCAAGCTCATTGTGCTAAATGACCTCAGATCAGCAGCATCAACAGTGTCTGGGGGCTTGTTGGAAAAGCAGACACATTTAGACCCCAGATACCCACAGACCTGATGAATCAGAACTTTCATTTTAACAAGCTCCTCAGCTGATCTGCATGCATGATAAAGTTTAAGATACACAGGATTAGAGATCCCTAAAAGAAATCTTCAAATTTAACAAGGTAAAATCTTCCTCTCTATTAATTCTCCCAAGTGACATCAGGGCTTGTAAAATTTAAGGGAAGGTAGGATCAGAATTTTGTCTTTGGGCAACAATGCCTTGACAAGGCTCCGAACTGGAAATTTCATCTATGACGTAAGTGTGCGTGCGCGCACGCAATTTCACATATAAGAAGCTAAGCGGTGAGAGGGATGAGGTGTTGCTGTGACAGTTCTGAGTGAGGCCTGAACTACCCCTTCCCTACTACTGATGCCTCCCCACCACAGCGGCTTCTTTGCTGCTCCTTGCAGACACAAAGCGAGCTCCTGCTCCTGCCTGGGCTCTTGCTGCCCCCCGTCCATAACACTCTCACCCTGATGTCCGCACAGCTGGCTCTCTCGCGTCCTTCAGTTTGTTACCTGGCAGGAAGACTTCCCTAACCACCTCTGAACAGCAATCCCACCTCCTAGCCTTCCTTACTCCCCTCCTTTGCTTGCTTATCTTGCCTCACTTTTCTCCATAGTACCTGTCTCTACTTGTTCACTTATTATCTGTCTCCCACACTACAATGTTTATTACACGTAATGTGTAATTTACATTTACATTTACAATGAGCACAGGGATTTGTTTTCCTTTACTGTAGCACCCCAGTGCTGGAACTCTGGTGGCACACAGAGGACACATACTAAGTCCTTGCAGACTGTATGAATGGATCACATATCCCATCAGATATAAATGGCTAATGTATATACATACTATATGTGAAAGTTAGCAAATGGGCCTGTGGGCCAAATCTGGCCCATGGCCTGTTCTGGTACTGCCCTCAAGCTAAAAAGGGCTATTACATCTTTAAAAGTGTTCCTTAAACTCTGAAAAACAAACGGAGGGTTCTAGAGGGGAGGGGGGTGGGAGGATGGGTTAGCCTGGTGATGGGTATTGAGGAGGGCACGTTCTGCATGGAGCACTGGGTGTTATACGCAAACAATGAATCATGGAACACTTCATCTAAAACTAATGATGTAATGTATGGGGATTAACATAAGAATAAAAAAAAATAAAAAGTGTTCCTTAAATGTGAAAATAAAACAAAACAGAGAAGAATATGCAGCAGAGATCATATGACCAACAGCCTAAAATATTCATTATCTGGTCCTTTTTCAAAAACACTTTGTACACCTGTGTTATAGGTGAATGTCTGCAAAATAAAAACTTTTCAAGATACAAATGGTGGCCAGTTGTCACAGTTAACAAATTTGAAAAACCGGACTCACTGTATTTGGTCTTTGTAAGCACAGAGCAGTTCTCCGAGCACTTGTCCAGAACCATCCTCGGGCCAAAGAGATTAGGACAGCACTCCAGTTTGATGCAGGTTTGCCGGCAGAACTCAGTGACGCGATCTGCTGTCTTCACTACCTCAACAGTAGCCCGGTAACTCTTTCCTTTGTATCTGCCGTGGAAGATGCCAGAGACCAAGTTTACTGGGCTAGTGATTACCCAGAGAAAATCAAGTGCATTCACAGACCTGAAAAATATCTTTGCTTCTCAGGATAGTCTATGTCCCTTATATAAGGTTTGAGGATTCTAAAAATAATGAGTTTATGCATATTGTACTTAAATCAAACTTACCACCTAAGCTATGACAAATGAAGGTTGAGGTTTTTATATTAGCAAATGAGGCTCTTGCTTTCTGGTTCCTCAGTTTAAGGTTTCCAAATAGGAACTTCTACACTAACTACTGAAAGAAAAGTGACTTGCACTAAGGCTTTCCTTTACCCTTGGGCAGTGATCCTCAGAGTGTGGTCATGGACCAGGTTCACCTGCCAACGGTCACATTGACAGGGTCAGAAAACAAGAGTAAGTGTTTATAAACTTTAACAGTAATTTGCAAAGGTAATTTTATGGCTCTTAAATCTAAAAACAAATTATTCTTGTGTTTTATGTCTTGTAATTTTCCTGTTTCTTATAATTCATTTTTACCATATTTTATAAAAGTACTGGCCCATAACAGGATGGAAACTTGCAAAAGAAAACGAATCTGGTCCTTCACCACAAACAGCTGAGGAAGAACTGACCGAGAGGACATAACTATTCTAACATGATACATGGAAGAATGGGCTCTGTGGCCTGTTAAAGACAGGTAAGAATAAAGGGCAGAGGAGGTTACTTACTTGGCTTTCAGGACCTCCCCACATCCATGCCACACGGAGTCTTTGTCCAGTTGCAGCTCCCGAAGGACACGACTGGGTTTATAGGCTGCATTGATAAGTAAAGTGAGGACCTGCGCTCCATTTTTAAAGCAGAAATATGGGTTGGGAATGAGAAAAGCAGACTATTAAAATCTTGTTATCCCCCAGAATGTCATTTAGGAGATTAATTCTAGTCATATTCATTAAGAAATACTAACAAAATAATAATATTCAAGATACGACGGCTGACCAAAGTGGCAACTAAGACAACAATCAGACCCTCTCAGACATTCAAAACACTATGGTCAGGAAGAAATAGGCACCATGAATTAAAAATTACTCTGGCAAATGCTTCTAAATCCTTCGCCAGTCCTGGTAGACACAGAAGCTCGGCCTCCCCAGACCCTGCCTTGCCACCCCATGGGCTGAAAGCCCCAGCAGTCCTTACATCTGGTATGCACAGAGCATGGCAGCTGGGCAAGCCTGGCAGGTGTGCGGCTTTAACATGGCCCCCCGGGAGTGCCACGCAGCCTCTGACTCCTCGACCATGCTCCCACTCATCCCTGCACCATGCTCAGGCAGCCTCTGACAAAAGCCCTTTCTATACGAGCAGAGGTGAGTGAGCATGCTATGTGAAGAAATGCCTAAGTGAACATTCCCGAAGGAGCAAAAGTAATGATGTGTCTGGTTCATTGAACAATACAGGAGAAAAGTGAGTCATTTCTGATCAAACCTAGGATTGTCACATGTATGGCATGCAGATCCTTGTACGGATGAGTCCATGAGACTGCTGTGAAACTTCCAAGTTCTTTTGCCCTGGGCAAGAACCTTACCTCTCTAAGGACCAGAACACAGTTCCCAGGTCCTACACATTGAGGCAGCTCAGCGATTCTTCCTTTGTTAAGATATGGCCCTGAGAAGCAACGGTGGTTGAAATATATCTTTGGACAGCAATATTTTCCATTAATCATAACTGGGAAACGAAGAGAAACAAATATTCAGAACAGTCATTTTCCACTCCGTGTTTCCGAAGTTGGGTTACTAGGGGGTGGGGGGGTGGCAAGCATATCCACCATTATATAAAGTTATAAATTATATATTTTTTTAAAGATTTTATTTATTTGACAGAGAGAGATACAGCGAAAGAGGAAACACAAGCAGGGGAAGTGGGAGAGGGAGAAGCAGACTCCCCGCTGAGCAGGGAGCCTGATGTGGGACTCGATCCCAGGACCCCAGGACCATGACCCGAGCCGAAGGCAGATGCCTAACGACTGAGCCACCCAGGTGCCCATAAATTACATATTTTGAAACTTAACACGTTGCCTGAGAGTGCCCCTGAAATACCTTAGACTTACAACAACTCTATTACAGAGCTCATCACTCTGCCCACATCAAACAACAGCCTGAATTACATGTAGACTGACTTCAGGGTTAATATGACACTGTTTCAGAGTCTCACACTTCCATCAATAAAGGAAGTAAAGGATTGACTTTAAGAACCCATGATGATGGGGCGCCTTGGGTGGCTCAGTTGGTTGAGCACTGGGCTCATGATTTTGGCTCAGGTCATGATCTCAGGGTCGCTCCACATTCAGCGCAGAGTCTGCTTGAGATTCCCTCTGCCCCTCCCCCAGCCAGCACACATGCTCTCTCTCTCTCAAATAAATAAAACCTTTAAAAAGAAAACAACTCTTAAAAAATGAATTAAAAAAAAAAACTCATGAGGATTCTTTTTTTTTTTTAAGAGATAGAGAGCACGTGTGCATGTATGCAAGCAGGGGGAGGAGCAGAGGAAGAGGGAGAGAGAATCTTAAGCAGACTCTCCATTCAGCGACGAGCCCCATATGGGGCTTGATCTCATGACCCTGAGATCATGATCTGAGCCAAAATCAAGAGTCAGACGCTTAACCAACTGAGTGCCCAGGCTCCCCATGAGAACCCATGATGATTCTTGAAAGTCAACTATTCAGTAATCTATTCTGGAATATTTCTAGGCAGTGATGATGAACATTTTCCAGAACTACAGTTTGTCCCCTTAAAACCACCAAACTAGCATGTCAGCAGTGCTCTATGAGGTAGGCATCCTCCCACGCCTGGGATTCCTCCGAAGGCTGAAAGTATGCTATGAACACATCTCTAAGTTCTGTAAGTACTGTGGGGTGTTACGTGGGCATAGAGACCCCTCTATTTTCCTGTGTGAATGCTATACTTCAATATAATGTTTTTTTATTCCCTCATCGAAGTTGGCAATTCCACTAATAAATATACAAAATTCAAAGACACTAAAGCAGAGAGAAGCCCTGCTGATGGACACTGTTTTGGGAAAGGGAATGTGTGCACTGCCCACTGCTGATAGGATCCTGAAGCACAGAATGTTCACTCTGGAACTAAGAACGCAGTCTCAGCACAGAGGTCAGCATGTGGGCGCCCACTTCTCCATCTGAACTCTGCCACCTAGATCCCCCTCTTCAGGATTCAGGCCCGTATGCTCCCCCCTGCTGGCAGTATGGGCAGCTTATGGCTCTCAGCTGGATGTTATCCTGGAATTAGCCTCAGCCTACCCTCTCACTAGGAGAGAGACACCTTGCCCAAGGCCCCACCCTTTGTGAGTAGACAGGGAGCCGCAGCCCACTTCTAATAACTGACCAAAAGGGAGTACAAAGGTGTGGCCACTACGCCTCAACTAGGGATGACTCTGAGTGGCCACACCAGCTTAAAGGCTCCCTTGTGGGCTGGAAGAAACTTCTGTTACAAACAGCACTGCAACTCAACTTCTCCCTCTGCCCAATCCTGCCCTCCGCCCCTGCAGCTGTTCCCCAAAAGCACTCCCCAGTGACACTCCTGCATGCAAATATCAGTCTCAGACTGTTTCCAAGGTAACCAGAACTATGACAAAACACAAACCAAAAAAGAACATGGCTGAAGTCACCTGGGAAATATTAGTGTCTTAATTCTATAGTTTTAAAGACTTGCCTTACTTTTTAAATTTACCTTACCTTTTGATACCAAATCAAAACCACAATGAGCTATCACCTCGCACCTGTTAGAATGGCTATTATCAAAAAGACAAGAAATAATAAGTGTTGACGAAGAGGTGGAGAGAAGAGAACACTGGTACACCACGGGAATGAAAACTGGTAGAGCCACTCTGAAGAACAGTATGGAAGTTCCTCAAAAAGTTAAAGAGAACTATCCTGTGATCCAGTAATTCCACTTAGGGTGGAATTTATCTGAAGGAAACAAAAATACTAACTTGAAAAGATATCTGCCCCCACCCCCGCCACATTCATTGCAGCATTATTTACAATAGTCAAGATATAGAAGCAACCTGAGTGTCCATGGATGGATAAAGAATGGAATATTGTTCAGCCATTTAAAAAAAGAAATCCTGTCATTTGTGACACCATGAATGGACCCTGAGTTTACTCACTAAGTGAAATAAATCAGACCGAGAAAGACAAATATCATATGATCTCACTTATATATGGGATTTAAACAAGACTCCAACCCACAGATACAGAGAACAGGCTGGTGGTTGCCGGAGGCAGGGGTAGGGAGTGAAGGTGGTCAAAAGGTACAAACCTCCAGTTATAAATAAGTCCTGGGGATGTAATGTGCAGCATGGTGAGTGTAGTAGTAATATTACTGTATTATACATCTGAACATTGCTAAGAGAATAGATCTTAAAAGTTCTCATCCCAAGAAAAAAAAATTATAACTATGTGCTGGTCGATATTAACCAGACTTACTGTGGTGACCATTTTGCAATATATACAAATACTGCAAATCACTATGTTGTACATCTGAAACTAATATAATGTTATATGTCAATTATATCTCAATAAGAAATGGGTAATTTTAAAAAAGATATTTACTAATAATGCTATTCTGCTGGGTACTCAAAAGATACCATTATGGTCAAGTAAGAGTTATCCTAGCAATGTAAGGATGATTCAACATTAGGAAAAAAAGCTATCACTGAGATTCACCACATTAATAAGCTTAGACAGAAAAATCATATGATCATCCAATGCTAAGGAAAAATTATTTTGTCAAGGTGAACATGTGTTTATGACCAAGGTTCCTAGAAAACTAGAAATAAAAGGGTACTTCTTTAGCAGTTATTTGCCAATCACCTATTGAATAAAGTTTAAATACCTTCCCTTTAATATCATGAATAAAACAATGATGCCACTGTCATCATGCCTATTAAACACAGGGATAAGTTCTATAAAGAACCATAAGGAAATAAAAGTAAACAAGTATAGCAAACTGGTTATTATAATGAAGATAATCACTTTTTGAAAAGGCCCTGATCCTCTATCTGTAAGAGATAGAATGAGAAGGCAGTGAGTGGAAAAGACAAAAGTGTGAGTTTTGAACTTGCGAAAGAGCCGAATCACATTTTTTTAAAAATTTTATTTATTTGAGTGAGAGAGAATGAGAGATAGCACGAGAGGGAAGAGGGTCAGAGGGAGAAGCAGACTCCCTGCCGAGCAGGGAGCCCGATGCGGGACTCGATCCCAGGACTCCAGGATCATGAC